TTTAAAGCATAAAAATGTGACGTTTGAGGAACCTGGAGCTTTTCAAAGTCTTTGGTGAAAATCCTAGAAAATTTCGAGGAAGGGGTGGAGAGAGGGGGGGAGGTGGCCAAAAAGGTCTGGTCCCCCGCAGCCCTGGGTCCCAAAGCAACTTTTTCCTGTAAAAAAAAAAAAGAAACCAGGCTGCTGGAAACGTTGCGCAGTGCTGCTGCCCGCCTGGCAGCGCGGGGGTGGGAAGGCGCTTTTCCGGGCGGGATACTTTCGGGCCTGATGTCAGCTCTGTGTTACAGGTACCGCCATGGATGCACGGAGCCATGGGGATGCCCTGAGCCCCGTGGGGTGCTGCCACCCCGCCTGCCAGTCCTTGCTCCTGGGGCGTGGGGGCTGTCACTGCCCCGTGTAGCAGAGTGGCGGGGATGGAGGTGCTGAGCCAGAGCGCAGAGCCGGGGGGGGTCATCAGCCCGAGGACCACGCAGCGGGTGCCCTGGCAGGTAACCTCTGTTTCCCCCTTCTCCCCGAGCTCGCTTGTGGGTTTTTCTCCGTTGCTGGCCAAAGCTGCTTGTAAGGTGTCACCTGGCCCACGGCGGGCTCCGAGGGTCCGTCGTGAGCCCCGCGGCAGCAGGGCTGCGGGGGAGAAGGCAGGCTGCAAAGCCGTCTGCAAAGGCAGGGATAATTCTGACCCCAGCTGAGCTTGCAAGGGCAGGCGCAGGATGCTTCGTCTCTCTGCCAGTCCCGGCCCATCTGTGTGCTGCACGTTGCATTGGCCCGTGCCTCAGTTTCCCCATGTCAGGGCACAGCGACAGCACCCCCTTCCTCTGCCTGCCCCAGGGGTGGTGGAGCTGCGGACAGGGCATTCTCTCCCTCTCCAGTCCCCGAGCCCATGGCCGAGGAGTGTTGGTGCGGGCTGTGGCCGGGACAGCGGGGCCGTGGCTGTGCAGGGGTGGCTGAACCGTGCCGGGCCAGGGATGCTGCGTCCCTGGGGCAGGGGTCAGCAGGGGCTGAGCACACGGTGGGGATTTGCTGGGAAAAAAAATTGCTGGCAGCGGTCAAGTGTTGCTCTTGCTCAGCGAGCAGCATCCCAGGGCTGGCCCCAGCCCGGGCCAGGGCACATTCAGGATCAGGCCCCCCCATCCCAAGTGTGGTGCAGGGTGTCAGGGCTTTACGGGGTTTCATACCGGTCTGCAGGCTGGGAACTGCCCTGCTTGGCCTTTCTGGGATCCAGGCCTCTCAAAATCCTGTTAAATCCGGCACCGAAATCCCTCTCTGTCCTTCCCAGGTGCCGAGGGCAGGGCAGGGCTGTCTGTGACCCCCAGGAGGGGCTGCAGGGCTGGAGGGACGTGGGGACATAGGGGTGCAGGGATACAGGGGGGAAAGGGACGCAGGGATGACGAGGGGAAGGGATGTAGGGGCGAGGGGATGCAGGGATGAAGAAGGGAAGGGATGCAGGTATGTAGGGGTGAAGGGATGGAGGGATGCGGGGATGCAGGGATGTAGGGGCGAGGGGATGCAGGGATGAAGAAGGGAAGGGATGCAGGTATGTAGGGGTGAAGGGATGGGGAGGGATGCGGATGCAGGGATGTGGGGGCGAGGGGATGCAGGGATGAAGAAGGGCAGGGACGGAGGGATATGGGAACACGGGGAATCAGATCCGGCTCTGACGGACCCTGGAGTCCCCCGACTCCCCACCGGGCGCCCGTACCCGGCTGCTCCGGGCTGGGCCGGGCCGTGCGGCGGTGCC